CGCAACCGAGTCGTATTCTTCTCAGACACAGAACTGTTTTGGTGATGAGGCACTAATGAACTTCCTGTCGAGGAAGCGCTTCTGACCCAGAACCCCAGTGTCATAGATAAATAAGAACCGTTACGTGAAGATGAAAAAGAAAACTATTCAGTCAGTCGCTATACTGTATCCTTTTCGTGGGTGACTGATAGTGTCATCATTCATAATTCGGCATCCCGAAATTGGAATTATGCTGTACGAGAATCAGTAGTAGAACCCCACCCAAGCAATCATGTCTCCTAAGTTTGGCCCATGTTTAATGGGTCATGTCACCTAATAAGCCAGAAATGACCATTCCAGTCTCCCTAGTCTCCATTTAAGCTTCTTACAGCAGATATTCACGGTTGCTACGTGAATGCGTTCGTGGGCTCGAGAGTGAGCTCCAAGATACGACGGTACAAATAGTACCAATCACAACCAACAGGACAAGGAGTCTGTTGCTCAGTGGTAAAGTGTTTGACTCAGTGACCAAAAATTTCTTTGAATCCCAGGTACTCCGAATCTGAGTTCGGGCGTGGCTGGGTGATGGCGGATAATAAGCCAAAAATTGTCATTAGAGTCTCACTTTTTCCCTGTGGATACCGTTTTCAACGTATATATTTATTCAATGCTGCTTTCACGGGAAAACAAAATGCTGTCAACAAAGTAAGGGAGTTTTCTGATATTTCAGGAACCACTTCAACCGCTCCAAGACAATCTATCTTCCACGACTTATGGAGTCTTCGAAATGGATTCCTACAAGTACAAGGCCTATGAGGAGGTATGTTCAAACCAGCTTTCTGTCTTATCTTTTTTGGCGAAATAGGCACAGTTGACACATTTCGTGTGCCCAAGAAGGCACGCAATTGGCGACCTTACAAGCCCTAGACCCCTAACTGGTACGTGGCCTGCAACGTGATAGCACGCACTGATAAGGCTTCAAGGCTGTGGTGGGACTAGAGCGGCCATTTTTCAGAGTAAACAACGTCTCGAGACCAAATGGGCCCGTTATGGTCTGTGGTCTATGTCGACTTATCTATCCTTCGCTGAAAAATAGGATGTACAGGAGAGCACGAGCGGCTGTCAACTTTGTGGTAGTTTTTGTGATTGACTTCATTCTTTGTCGCCGAAAAGTTTTTTTCCTCCGGTGTCCTGGAAGTCTGCCCCTCCACAATCTTTGTCTAATTTAACGCTGTCGCTATGGTGAATAGATCTAGAGAGAGGACGCGGCACCAGATAGTTTTCAGTGAAAGGCCGACTGGACA